GGCCGGGCGGGCCCTGTGCGAGACCCGGGCGGGATGGGAGAGAGAAGTGAGGCCTCCTTCACCGCAGAGCTGCCGCGGGAAGGGGGCACTGACGCCTCGTGAGCAACTGTGTCATCACTGTCGCGTGCCACAGGTGTGTTTTTTTTATAAATTGATTTTATTCCCCTCCATTTTGTGCGATGAAGAGAAACAGGGTGTATTTCTTGAAATCCTGTATTTTGGCATACATTCACTACAGCTTGTACACCGTATGCGAACAAAAATTCCTTAATTAAATAAAAAACTTAAAACCCACTGTTGTAATTTCAGCCATAAAAGATCACTTGGGACAACAGTCTGCTCCATCCCCAACTTCTCCAAGTCACTGGATACTTCATTATCAAAAATACTAAATAACTAGTTGTTTGTGTGAACCACCTAAAATCCAATCCCTAAACAACAGGCGCTATCGTCATCTGGCATGACCGGATGGGTAGATGAGGGGAGAGCCGTGGATGTTGTCTACCTCAACTTCAGCAAGGCTTTCGACACTGTCTCCCCATAACATCCTCCTAGGGAAGCTCAGGAAGTGTAGGCTGGATGAGTGGTCAGTGAGGTGGATTGAGAACTGGCTGAATGGCAGAGCTCAGAGGGTTGTCATCAGCAGCGCTGAGTCTAGTTGGAGGTCTGTAACTAGTGGTGTCCCCCAGGGGTCAGTACTGGGCCCAGTCTTCTTCAACTTCTTCATCAATGACCTGGATGAAGAGTTAGAATGTACCCTCAGCAAGTTTGCTGATGACACCAAACTGGGAGGTGTGGTAGATAACACCAGAAGGCTGTGCTGCCATTCAGGTAGACCTGGACAGGCTGGAAAGTTGGGCAGAGAGGAACCTGTTGAGGTTCAACAAGGGCAAGTGCAGGGTCCTGCACCTGGGGAGGAACAACCCCATGCATCAGTACAGGCTCAGGGCGGACCTCATGGAGAGCAACTCTGTGGAAAGGGACCTGGGTGTGCTGGTGGATGACAAGTTGCCCATGAGCCAGCAGTGTGCCCTGGCTGCCAAGAAGGCGTCCAGCGGAGGGCTATGAGGATGGTGAGGGGACTGGAGCATCTCTCCTATGAGGAGAGGCTGAGGGAGCTGGGCTTGTATAGCCTGGAGAAGGCTGAGAGGGGACCTTATAAATGCTTATAAATATCTGAAGGGTGGGTGTCAGGAGGATGGGGTCAGACTCTTTTCAGTGGTGCCCAGCAACAGGACAATGGGCAACAGGCACAAACTGAAGCAGAGGAAGTTCCATCTGAACATGAGGAAGAACTTCTTCCCTCTGAGGTTGACGGAGCACTGGAACAGGCTGCCCAGGGAGGTTGTGGAGTCTCCTCTGGAGATATTCAAGACCCGCCTGGGCGCGGTCCTGTGCAGCCTGCTGTAGGTGATCCTGCTTTGGCAGGAGGGTTGGACTAGATGACCCACAGAGGTCCCTTCCAACCCCGAACATTCTGTGATTCTGTGATATTATAGAGGTTTAGCTACGAAAGGTACGATGGATGTTTCTGGCAGATACCACGATGCCTGAAGGTGTCTGGCAAACAAAACAGAAAACCAGGACCAGAGCTGACACCGCGTTGGCATTCTCTGGACGAACCTTTCTGAGAGCTACAGCAAGACATGCGCGATGTGGAAGGCACACGGCCGCGTTATTTGGCATGAGAAGCTAAACAATATATAAAAGAAATGCCACCGCCCCACATTCAAAGGATCCAGAATCCACGTTGACAGAAATCGTATCAGCTGCCTTTGGCTCAGAACACTGCAAAAGCCTAACTTACACTGTAGATACTTAGAAAATGAAACTATCCAGTTATTCATTGGTTTAGACAAAGGGCTGTGTTCACTGTAAGGCTACCAATCTAATTCGCAGGAGAAGAAAGCTATTCTAGCTATTGACTTTAAAACTCTTCTGCCCCTTTCTCATTAACCTGCGGGATGTCCTTTCCTGTGGTCATGGAAGATCAGAAGAGCTCACGGTAGCCTGCATTTGAAAGAACAAAAATACTCCAGGGTTCCAAAGGCCAATATGAAAAAGCATCGCCAGTAATCACACTTTTGAGGGGAGGAATCCAGTTCAAGGCCCCTGTTGGCTACAGGCATCACATTATAAGAAAATTAAAAGGCTTCTCTCAAATTACCGAGACTGAACTCGGTCAATGCCATGCAGATACCAACAGGCTGTCAAACATACCTGGAGCACGGGTACTATATGCCTTAGCAAGGTATCTCACTCGTTCACCACCTTCAATCTCTCTGGCTTTAAATTATAACACCACACTGACACACGTCGACGTAAGTTAACGCTGGCGTTATATATATAAAAATAAAGATCAGTCAAAAAACAAACCCTAAACCAACCTATAGCCAAAAGATACCGTTGTCATCTTGGTTGCCAAGTTAGCTATCTGTTAGCAGTGCTGAACAGATGCCGGGACCCAGCGAAGGCACTTGCTACAATAACGATGAGCAGTAGAAGGTGGGAGGAATATAATGAATTAATGCCAGCTGAGCTCCACCTTTTTTTTCCTGGAAACGTGAGGTCACTCTTGAAAGGTGCATTACAGTGATTGCACATAGGAAGTGAGAATGAGAGTGAAGGAGAAATAAGAACAACCAGAAGGGAGTTACAGAAGGTGACGTATATCAACATGACTCAAGAGAAACATGAAAAAGGTTTCAGAAAGTGTTATTGGAATATATGACGCCTCATGATGCTATTTTCCAGGAAACGGGCATTTTGGCAAGGTATATACTGCTCCTCTCCCAAAGAGAAATGTTGCAGTAGTCAGACCTGAAGGGTGTTCATAAATTTCTTCAGAGCAATTGGAGACCTCTTCTACAATGCCTTAGACTGTGAAATACAGGCCACCAAACTGAGGAGAGAAATATCTAGGAACTGGCTGGTAAAAACAGAAAAGAGAAAGTGGCTCAGCCCCGGTATGACATTTTCCTAGCGACCTCACGAGTATGAGTTATGCAGCTTTGCTGTCCTTGGAACAGACACAGCTGGTCTCCAGCTACTCCTTCCTTCCTCTTGCTTTTTTTTCCCCCACAACTCTCTTTAACGCAGCACCCTTGTTTCGGGAATATCCACACAGAATGTTTCTGTTTCTGTAGTTCCATTTTCTGATTGCTATCTCCTGCATGCATCCTGCCATGCCGCTCGCATCCAGAGCAAGACAGGTCAATGTGAGAAAAAGACTCACTGCGTTACTCGCTGTCTCTGTCACTGGTGTGCAGTGGAAAGAGCAAGAGTATGTTGGATTAAGTCTCAATCAGTAAACACTCACGCATGCTCCAACTTTGCTAGAAGCAGCCCCTATTGAAGGAAACAGTTTACCTTCATGCCTGGTGTTAAGTTGCACATCATACAGGCAGAAACTGCCACACTTTTTAAATAAAATGCACAGCAAAGGCACTGATAAGAGACATCCATTTTAAAACAAATTATTACACCTTTATCATTGCCATATTCCTAGCAACATAGGCTGCCATGCAACAGCACTCAGCTGCTCAGGCACGGAATATTCATTAAATGAATTCATACTGGTTTTTTATCCTGGCACTCTTCCCACCGCACATTTTCATGCCAAGGTAAGACTGTGTAGTCA